GTAAATTGAAATTTTCTAGAGATTTTTTGCACTGCACTTATGTAAATATTTATTTATTTATTTATTGCACTTATTTATTATTTTTGGTTTGAAATTTTCAAATTTATTTATTTATTTAACATCTTATAAAATTTTCACAATGGTAACATCTAATTTACTTAATTTTTATCTAATTTACCCTACTCGAAATTCTGGTAAATACCAACATTCGCTGCTATACCGACATAATTTTCTGTTTCCCTTAATTTACCATCAATTAACTCGCACTCGCACACGGCCTTAATATTATTAATTTGAAAAATTTATTTTATATTATTAAAATAAAATATTTATTATATTATTAATATATTTGTTTTATTATATTATTAATATAAATATTAATATTACTAAATAAATATATTTTTATTATGAACAAAATATTTATTTCATATTATTTACATATAATATTATAATATTATTTAAGCTAAAATATTTATCTTATATTATTATATATATTATTTATATTATTGAATAAAATATTTATTTATATAATTAATAATGTTTAATATTAATATTAAAATTAATATTTATTTATATTATTAATAAAGTATTAAAGAATATTTACTCATATTATTAAACTTAATATTTATTTATGTTTAATTGAAATTAATATTATTATTAGAGTTATTATTGAATAAAATATTTATTTTAATTTTAAATATAATAATTATTTTTATTATTAAAATAAATATTTTTTCATTAATAAAATAAATTAGTTTTATATTTAAACAAATATATTTATATTATTAAAATATTATTGAAAAAAAAAAAATATTTACTTCATTATTATTTAGCTAAAATATTAATTTGATATTATTAAGCTAAAATATTTATTTTATATTATGAAAATAAAATATTTATTTCATGTTATTTAAATATAATATCTATTTGATATTATTAAGCTAAAATATTTATTTATATTATTAGAATGAAATATTTATTTATATTATTAGAATAAGATATTTAATTATATTATTAAAATATAATATTTATTTTATATTATTAAAATAAAATATTTATTTCATATTAATAAAATAAAATATTAGTTTTATAATATAATAAAATAAAATATAATATAAATAATTATTAAGATAAATTATTAAAAAAAAATATATTCTTCATATTATTAAGCTAAAATATTTATTTTATATTATTAAAATAAAATAATAATTTTATATTATTAAAATAAAATATTTATTTCATATTATTAAAACAAAACATTAGTTTTATATTATTCAAATAAAATATATATTATAATTTTAAAAGAAAATATTTATTTAATTTATATTATTATTAATTATTATTATTGAATTAAATTATTATTGAATTTTGTATGTCATTAATATTAATTTATATTATTATATATATACAGTCAAACTTCCATAAATCGAAGTATCATTTTATAAAGAAAAGGTTCGACTTAAAGAAATTTCAAGTTAAAGAAATTTTTTGAAATTGTCTGTTATTTGCTCTCTAAACCCTCTTGCATTCTATTTGGTTCAAGTTATAGAAAATTCGAGTTAAAGACGTTCGAGTAATGGAATTTTGACTGTAGCTCGCTTATGAAAATAAGTCCGATATGAACTATGTGATTAGTGGATATATCTATTTTTAATTGTATACGGTCTAATCAATGTCTAAATTTTTAACCGATCGTATCTGATTTGAAAATAAATGGTTAATAAAAAATTGCAGATATAAAAAATAAAAATTTTGTTAAAATTGTCTTATCACGTATACTTCTAGAACCAAATAGAATATCAAATGGTATAAAAAGAACCAAATTAACAAAAATTGAAACTATTGAATAGAGGAGCTTTTAAATAGTTTTAAATTGTAACAACAAAATTTTTATTTAGTTTTAATTAATTGTATTTTTGGCTGACCATATAGCTGTTTTGAGTAATACCCATCATCAGTGGTCTTGGAACTATTTTTAATACATATTTTATTATTAAATATGAACAAGAAAACAATTTTTTTTAACTATATAATATTATGATTCTTTTTTACTCGATTAAAACATACAACTGCCTCACTTCCTTTTCTTTTGTTTCTGGATATAAATGAAAATTGGTAAATGGTTTTTTTTTTATTTGCAGATACGTGAGAGAGTCAATTCTTTTCCATTATTTTTGGATATATATGCGAATTGGACAGTTTTTTTTCCTATGTATCCAGATACTTGTGAGAATTGATTAATGAAATTTCTGATAGATAATGGTAAATAAATAGTCATGGTAAATAATGGTAATGGTAAAGAATGATAATTGTAAATAATATTTTCAATAAAAGACGAGTTATATGAATGTGATACAGTTATTATTTGAAAAGGGGTAGTGCACTGCGACCTAAAAGATCTATTGTGCCCCCAATAATATAAATAATTTTTTAATTTTTGTGTTTTAATGATAATAGTTTTTTAGCTACAAGCGAAGTAACCAACCTTATACTATAAGTGTTCCTATATATATGTATATGCGGTAAAGGCTTGTTAATTTAGAAGTTAGCACCTAAAGAATTTATTGAGCTTACATATAATTATGAGATGATACAAGGTGAACATTCCGATTGACATCCTACTCTGTAAATAATTTTTAAACAAGTTTTTGCAATCTTTAAATGAAAAAAATTTACCTCCGGTAATAAATAAAGTTATAACAAAATAAAATAATATTAAAAAAATGTGTGAGTTAAACTAATATCACTAAATTATAACTTTTCATGCAAAAAATTTAACTTTAGCACATTATTAGTTGCGCACACCCAGTATTTGGATACGATAAACGCACGATTGGCACCTGATATTTATGGAAAAGACTATTCTGGTTTTTTGTTATATTTCTTCATATACGTATATTTTGTAGGCTCGTTAGCTGAAAGATTTTTATAAAATATTTCATTTGAAATTCTACACTTATGCAGAAATATGTAGCTAAAACTGCACCTTTTTTCAGCGCCTTAAGATCGGCAAATAAATCACTAGTAACATTTTTAAGTTGATATTTAGTAAAGATTTAAAAATTGTATACAAAAATCCATATTTATCTAAAAAAAGTTTCATCGATAAAGTTGCTACATTATAGTACGTATATTCAAATCATCTAAAGTGTAATACGAGATCATTATGACTAGAAGAAATGCTTTGATGAATGGGATATGCATTGGAGTCAGCAATATTCTGGGGTATGTAGACTTCTTTTTATTTAACATTAATTATAATAGAAAATTTTTTTTGAATTAAAGTGCAACTTTTCAAAATGTTGTATTTTTCTATTTGAAATAGAATTGTTTTAAACATATAGAAAAAAAAATCTTAGAAAATAATATAATTTTTTCAATTAATTCCTACATGACCGCTTTTAGTGCGAATTACGGGTCTGAGACAGAGTCTTCTCTCATTCATTTAAATAAGAAAGATATTTTTGAGCAAATCAGCGCTCTGATACTTAATGTTGCACTGTTGACCTTGGCATGCAAAATGTCACAAACCAATAAATTAAGTGAGTGTAAACCTGATAACCACTAGGGCAACAGTACGGTCTAAATAATGTGTAGTTCTTGAAGTTTGAAGTTGTTAGTTTTTGCATTGATTACAATATATATTGCATCAGGACAATATTTTGGGAAGTATACTTCTATGAAATCATCTGAATAACTTATTATCAGAAATCAAAAATCAATGAAGCTCATATCACAGTGGATCATTCAAGAAGTCACAGACACTATTGAGTAAAACTGCGACAAGAAAAGAATAATCACAGCAATGACAATGTGACCACAGGTTAAAATAATTTGTCGAAATAAAATCGAGTCATGCTTCAAAAATTTCTGAAGAAAATCTCTGTATTCACATTTTGAATATTAATTGCAGTGAAAGAAAATTATTAAAAAACTGATATTATTATAATAATTATAATAATAAAAGAAGAAATAT